GATGTGGGTGTGGTTTTACAGATCTTGGTGCGGGTGTGAATGTAGATTTTCTATCAATACACACCACCACCTCACAGCCATACCCTAGCCTCACTCTCGCCCGCATTACCCACGTCCACATCACCCACGCCCACAGCCATATCCCATACCCATCCTGCACCCACACTTACATCTATCCACACCCACACAGCCACACCCTCATTTGTTAGACGCCGGAGAAAAACTTGATGGTAGTGACTCATATCTCTGTGTGACAGGAATAGCTTTTGCTCTCATCTGGAATCGGTGAGAGGAAAAGTAAAAAGCTTCAGAAGTCTGCCAATATTCTAAGACAGCATCACGAAGGGTGTGGGTGTGATTGTTAGTGGTGTGTTCAGCCACACTCACACACGACGCCCACACCCATGCCTCACACCCACACACCCATATCCCACGTCCACGCCCGCATCCAAACGATCAAAGACGACAAAGTACAAATGCATGTGGCTACCTATAGATTGTGACTTTGATTTGATGAAGGTGCATACTTTTGTTAGCTGCCTCTAATAAAAGTACAAATATTAAAAACAGAATTTGTCGTTGGAATTGTTCTAAGTCGTCATTACATAGTAAGTCAATGATTGACAATAACAATATTCATATTTCGAATGATGGCACGAGCCTATTAAAAGCTTATATCGCAGAAGCAATCCTATATTGCTTTTACGACGCTTTTCTTCTTATATAAAGATTACCTTTTTGAAGAAAAATTAAATGCTTAAGAAAGCAATGGAGCAATATCAAATTTCTATTTATCGAAAGGTCACTTTGTGTGCTTCTTCACTTTCGGCAAATGCAAAAAATATTATATCTTCATTAGATATAAAGATGGGTACCGCCGCTATTCTGTCTCATTTTAAAACAAGCGATGGTTTCAGCAGTAATTCATTGTTTCATATTCATTCTATTCAGGTAATTATAAAATCTTTTTTTTTCCTATTCATCTAATGTTGAACAATTTTCCTTTTAAGCTTTACAGGTTTGATTCTTATTTTCTTTTTACATATCCTCCTATTAATTTGGTATGTCGCTAGTTCGAGTGAAATCTCAATTCTGCCCGGGAATTAATCAATATGATCGATGTTCGCTAAATAGTGCGTGTGCCTGTTTTCATATAGCAGGTGCTATTGACGTTGGCATTTGTAGCGATGAATTCGTGGATTGTTCTGAGCTAGTTGCATGTGAAAGCTCAAACAACCTTTGTCGTGAACCTAACCATAGATGTGTTCATCATCCTCAATGTCATAATCGTCCTGTTTGTTATCCAGTGCCCAGTTTCAATCGACAGCTCTGTCCACCGAGAGCAAGTAAGAAAACAAAGGATGATCTTACAGATTCAAGTGAAAGCCGAATCTTTCTTAAAGTTATTTCTTCATTATTGACACATCTTCACATATGCAGTTCATGTTGATGTAGGAGCAGTGAGGAAGAGTCGAATAGCCTTTGAAAAAGTACATAAAGTATGATAGACAGAATACGAATTGTAATCATTGGAAAAAAAGATTTCATCTCTTCTTATGGACTATATTCATTAATTTGAAATACAGAGTCGGTTTCAGTTATATTTAGCAATACATGAAGACGCAGTGAACTTTTGAATGTACATCGGAGACCGCAACAAATTGAACAATTGATCATTCGATTCGATTCTGCAGAACGTGTCATATGTTAGAATCTCCTGAAGAGCACTTCAATTCTATTGTGCCACATTTCTCTTTATTCACAGTTTTTGTTGTATATTCGACTGAGTCTAGTGAATATTGAGTTTACTCGGCTGTCTTTTTTTTCAAGACAACTGCGATCAACATCTAGTTCGAAAGAAAATGCATTCATGATTCTCTCTGTCATGTTTCTAATGACTAACCTTGCGAAATTGAAGACTGATCATTTAGCTATGACGAAGTAAACGCTAGAGCTCAAGAATGTTTTAGTCATTAAATTGATTGAATATGTCACTAATGATCAGTAATGCTACTGTGTATGTAAATTATATTTCACGACTCGTAGCACCGCTGACTCAGTCACCTTAGAAAAATACTAATAAGCACAGAATGCATATTGGAGGGTGCTCTTGGTACGGCTAATTATTTTTGAGGCTATGCCTACTTGTATCAAACATTTGAGATTTCTTTCTTAAGAGAAGAATGTCAATATTCAAACTGTCTGACGTCAAGAGGGACGAGAAAGAGGGAGCTTTTAACAATTTATCTGTACAGTATTCTTCGGTTCTTTCGAGTATCCCTGTGAAGCCATACCAGTCACACTGCTAATATGCCGGCAAAATATTCTAATGGTCTAAGACGACGAACATACTGACATGTGGTCAATTTATGTGACAGGTTGAAATCATAAACTTCATACTTCGTATAATGATCTTCTACTGCAACGACAGTCAGTACATTTAAACCTTTTACCCGTATTTAAAACATAGCAGAAGCGATGAATTTGAGCAGAACAGTGTCGATGAATTTGATTCCACTCAATGTGATTTGATTTAATTTGATTCAACCGCATCAAATCGAATAGAATTGTCGAGAATTTTACTGGGTTTTCGGTTTTTGATGAACACAGACGTTTTCCATCAAAAATCGGTTTTGAAAGAAAAACTTCGATTAGAAAACCGTTTGAGGACGTCTTCCTGCTTTGAAACATTGCTTAGACTTCATCTGAAGCTTAAATGCTTCGAGTTCTGCATTGCACTCTATGTCAGACCTAAACTATCTGCTTTGTTTACATAAATTTTTCTATGATAATGAATAGCGGCGAACACTTCAACAACAACTTCGATGCCAACTACAACGACAACTGCAAGAACTACTCAGCAACCAGGTAAGCATTATATTAACACTTCTTGATCTTGACTATCGCTAATTTCTGATGAAGTATATATAGTTCTTTTGTATGCAATATTACTCTGCAGCTAGTTAAAGGTAACATTGATAAGATCAGCAATCTTATATTATGAGTGATTAAATCTTTATCATAAGGAAAAAAAATCAATTAATAGTAATCCCCATGTTGATTATTTTTCGTCACTATTGAATTTTACTTCGTTTTATTGATATCTACAAAATAAAATCCATCCTTTCTCTTTGTTTGATACTACTACTATACATGTTGCCTTTCAAACAAAGATGCTTTATTTCAATTTATTAAAACATTTGACTTCAGATACTATAAAAATGCACTATATTCTAAAGGTCTCTTCCCTTTCTTTCCTATCTGAATTCAGACAATCTTAAAGTCTGGTGTCTCAATTCTGCCAGAAACTTTTTTTGAAACATTTTATTCATAGTTTTAGCTATCAAGATCACAAAGAGCTTCTTTTTAATTTCCGGTAAAGAGTAAACATTCCACTGTCGAATGATATAAGATTAACACATTGACTCGTGCCCTTGAGGATCTTTAGTAATGACTCACTAAAAATACATAAGATATTGAAATAATTTAAAAACAGCGTTCTAACGATTTCTTTAACACGTTAAATTAAGTGTTTTTATTTGTTTTCAACGTAAATTTCACGACTGCTCCCGTTTTGAAAGGCTAAAACACATATTAACGCCGAAATATTCGTTAAGAAAACATAGTTTTACTCGTATTTTCTCGTTCTTTTTAAAGCAATTAAACGCGTTTAGATGTAGAATCTTTATTCCAATTACTTGTATTCATATGAACACATCTGACATGAAAATTATTATTTATAGACTACTCTGATTTTTTTTAATCAGAATGACAAGTCAATTGTTGAACAATTATTAAAAAAAAGAATAGGATATTCTTAAAGACGTGCGACTACTTTTTTCTCTTCATATATGTGCGAGTTGATGCCTCCCCTAGTGAATGTAGTGAGTTAAGGGTACCCGAGAAAGTACCCTGCTACTAGTATGTCCGAAGATCTGTTGGATACTAAAGTACTTTATCGGGTACCCTGTTACAAAATGTTCAGTAAATTGGTACTTGAAGGTACTGATGAAATACTCAACTGAGTACTGTTGCACAGTATTTTTAGGTGCCCTGTTGCCAAGATTACAGTATGTTGATGATCGAACCTAACCTTTGACTTCTTTCATTTTTGTTCCTCTCGAAGCAATTTATGACATTTTTTCGATTTTATTTAATTTAAGTTTTTCAATTCTGAAAATTCAAGCACGTCAAATTTCAGAATCTGACTGGATCTGAGTTGATCGAATCTCCATCAGACCACTTCAGGTTAGTCCTCTCTGAATTTACGATCGAGATCGGCATGTTCTCGACTAGTAAATAGTCAAGAAATAATCTAGAAAAAATTAGTATGAAAAAATATTAATTTCTTATGTTTTGTCGAGTTGTTTATATGCAGCCGTATGTGCAAAAAAACCCGGTGAATGAACAGTTGCTACGCAGAACGCGACAAATCTAGGATACCCTGTAGAACTTTCCTCAGTAAAATTACAGGTGCGGGTACCCATACAAGTATTTGTACAGTAAACATACTACTATAGATGCTCAATGCCGTACCCACATCAGTATAATTACTGAGACTTTTCGAAGTACCTATATCGGACACCATGCTGAGGCTTTCTCAGTACATGGATACTCTTAGCTCAGTACTTTCACTAGAGTCTTTCTCTTATTTATTTGTTTACTTTGTTTATTTATTATTTTTTCTCAAAATTCAAAATGTGATTTTGATCTATTTGCGATGTAGCATAGTTATCACTGTATTTTTTTCTTTCATATTTCTAATACTTGTTATAATCTTTTATTCTTATTATGTTAAGAATCTATTGCCGATTTATTTGACGATCAACTTTTCTTAGAGCTATCGAAAGTTATTAATATTTTCATTTCGGTATGGATAAGTATTTTTAAATTCTAAAGATTTAACATTGTTAGAAGAAAAATAAAACAAGTTTAATACTGATAAAATAGAAAATTAACTATGTTTGTTTGTTTTTCATCATCTTGCAAATGAATAAAGGATGCTAACTGAACAGAATCGATTGAATCATATAAGAGTATGTTTTCCTCATTTGTTAATGTCAAGACATCTTTCTATGTATCATGATGATGATGATAGAAGAAATCTTTGTGTTTCTCTCTGCATCCACTGATTTTGCTCAGAAGTAGACAAATAAATAAATTATGTATCAAAGCTGAGACAGTCATATGATTTGTTACTCTTTCTTTTCCCAATCAATGAATACATTGAAATTCTAAACCCTTTTTTATGAGTTTTGTTCGATCTCAAGTGCCAGCGTGCTTTAAGTTGTGGTGAGTCCTTATCTTTTTAGAATAATTAAGTATATGGACTACTTAAAGTTTGTAAAAAGTTTATTTTAACGGTTGCATCATTTATTTACATGTTGAAATGTGCATGTTTTTCTTCACTTCTATTGTGTTTATCTCAATATTATTTCTCTTAATATTCTAATTCGTTTTTGGTGGATTGTTGATTTCATCATCGATTCTTTGTATGAATAGTGTCATTTTTTTCTCTTTCATTCGTAGTATGTAATAACTAGTTTTTTCTTGAGTAATTTATTGTCAGTCAAGAATTAATAAAGATGGTAGATGTTTCATCTTTCTATTTATTGTCTAGAGCAAAATAGGTTTTTTCTTTTTTTTTCGTTTTTCTATTCACATCAACACAGAAGAAAGAAGCCAATAGCTATATTTCATAAGTTTCGCAGCCGTTTTGACTTTGTTTTTGTATTTGTCAACTCTTTCAAGTAGAACAGACATACAAAAATGTATGTTTAAATATCATATCTAAGTCCTCGTTCAAAATTTGTTGTACTCAGCTGATATTTATACTAAGAAGGTAGATGATTAGTAAAAGTATTAAACAGAAACTTTATCCAATTTATTTTTCATTATATTTTTATCTTAAATATGTAAAACAAAAACAACGTCTAAACTTATTTTAGTTTTAGACTTTATAAGAACATAAAAGGACAAAAATGAATCACATGATCCTCTCATCGTAAGAAAAAAATGAGTAGAAAATAAAATCGATAAAAAGATTTTCGCATGTTTTCTAATAATGTATTTTCTTAATAATGATGTCAGTTGAGAATATAGTGAATTTTTGATCATAGTTCAGACGTTCCGAATATATAGATTTTGTATGTCTGTTCAACTTTTATGTATTCGACACAATAGAAAAAAAATACTCAAAATAGCAAAAAATCTATGAAACAATCTTCATATATAGAGCGTGCAATAGTTCAATGAACCTCGTAAACGTATTTTAATTTTTATTGTATATCTTTACGTGTTAGTAAACGTTCCATTTTTTTAAATTGAATACATCCGTAGAGAGAACAACAACATATTCCATAGATCTGCATGCGTTACTTGAAATATAATTTAGATGAATTTTTAGTTATATCAATCTTGTTACTATCTTGTAAAAACTGACTTATTATAGTTGAATTTCAAATTCTTTTAAATTCTTTAAATTTGATATGCGTTCTTACAGATCAATGTCAAACTAATAAGTCATTCGTTACAAAAAGGTAACAACATTGAATTCTTCTAAGGTGTGCGTGAGCGTAGTTGCCAATAAAGAATAGGAACACTCATATCCACCCACACCCATATTAGCTCAAATATTTAGCATCAACATTCTAATAAGATGCAAATAACACCTGAGCATTTTTTCAGCTTTGGATTCTGACACTATTCTTTACTTTTTAGCAAAAATTCTTGTCTCGAATTCATAGAAATCCTTCTAGCATTTCCAGACGATGCTTCGTATCAAATCTTATCGAAACTCTGATAATATCTTACCGTTATCCTTTTGATCTTTCTGAGTGAGCCCCTGCTTTCCAAGTCACAAAAAGAATATCTTCAGCTCGTGCCTGTAGAAAGCTAACTAAGTCCTTATCTTTTCCTATGGAGACCGCTGATAAGATTAACATTAGTCTTCTGAGTATTTCAAAAAGTAGAAGGCGTCGGATTCCCAAGATCTTCGTGAAGTCCTGTCAAATTTACTCAGATTTGCGTGCATACATACCTTCTTATGATTTTGCTAAGATCCTATCAACATATTGAATACTTAAGATTCCCCAAAAACATAAGGATGAGATTTGACATTTCTGGTCCAAGAATTCGACATCCTTCTAACAAGATGTAGATAAAACCTTTTAAGGATTTTTTCAGTTTAGGAGTTTCACATAGTTCATTGTTTTATTGCTTAAATTCTTGTCTGATGTTCATATAAATGATCATTCTGCAAAAGATTCTAGATTCAAAATTATGAATCAAATTCTCAGACTCCTATTTTTTCCAATCGAAAGCTTGCATCCCATAAGCACTGCTCATTCTCGGAAAGCTTCCTTACACCGATCTCTCGTTACAGTTTTCATCTACCGCGAGGATTCTATATTTTAGGATCTACACGATGTTGGCAAGCTCTAGAAGCGACATAGATGTAAGAATTGTTACGAAATTCTTTTTTTTCATAGGAAACTAGGAAAAGATTTCGAAATTTTTATGTGTGGAAGGAACATTCTCGAAGACGAATGTCGTATTTGCAGCTCCTACTCTCACGGGAGAGGAGGATCTCTTCGACAATCACGATGACGTTTCTTTTTCTTTTCCGTTCCTTGTAGTGATTCCCAATGTTCCAGTCAATGCCCGTTGGACACTGATCTAGATCGACATTTGTGTGCCAAGTAGAGATTGCCAACTTCACTATGTCCCGCTCCAATTACACACACAACTCCAGTCCTATTTTCTGAACTCCCACTCCTATTGGATATTTCTTTATACGCTTTCGCATGAAACCCAGAAACGAGCAACTCAACTCCTATTTTCCGAAATTCCACTAGAACTCCACTCGAACTTCAATGAGAAAAAGCACCAACTTCGGAGTTGGAGTTATCTATCACTACTATCAACGATTCTTAAATCCTGATTCTTGACATCCTCGTGGTCATACCCGTGACATGTTAACTTCAAGAAGGCTTCTCAGAACAAACAGTCCATAAGAATTATAGCATGATCCTGATAGAATATACTCATAATTTTTAGAATTTTAGATTTTGACAGAGTATATTATTTAGTCAATAAGATTCTCCTTTAAGATCCTAATACATGGTTTGTAGCTAATTTTCAGGAAAAATTAATAATAGCTTTGTATAACACTATCTGACTATTCCATTCAGACCCACCCTTTCCAAATTGCAAATGAAACCCACAGATCCCTATTTTTTCCTATGAAGAACTCTGATAGGAATAGCATTCATCTACTCAGCATCTCAAAAGTAGAGGGCATCAGTTTCTAAAGATCTGCGTGAAATTCTCTCAAATTCACTCAGTTTCGTATGCATCAGGCTTTCAATAGGATCTAGCTAAGATTCTATCAGGATCGTTCTTCGAGGAGCTTGACATAACTTGACAAAAGCTTGATAAAATCTCATCTGCATCTGCCATTCCAATGTTTAGGATACCCTTCAACAGGTTTGCATTCATCATCCAGAAAATCATGTGATCTGGATATGTGTTGACCCACGTGAAAAGCATTCTCAAAGATGCATACTGAATGTTCAAGGTTCCCCAAAAAACATAGGAATTAGGTTTGATATTTGTTGTTCAACGATTTAACATTCTCCTAACAAGATGCAAATAGAATCTTCTCAGGATTTTCTCAGTTTAGGAGTTTCACATAGTTCATTATTTCATTACTTAAATTCTTGTCTGATGTTCATATAAATGATCATCCTACAAAAGATTCTGCATTCTCGCAACTTCGAATAAAATCCTCAGATCTCTATGTTTTTCTATCAAAAGCTTACATGGAATTAGCATTACTCTTTCTTGGACAAATCTCCTTACAGCATTCTCCAGGTGTTGTTATTAGGATCAAAAAGATTTTGGCAAGAACTAAAAGTGACATAGATGTAAAAATCGTTACGAAATCCTTTTTTCTCATAGGAAACTACGAAAAGGCTTCTGACTTTTTATCTGAGGAAAGAACATTCTCGAAAGTTTTACTAAATTTCCTTCAAAGAAGTCGAATGTCTCCTTTATAGCTCTTTTCCCCGCGTGAGAGAGAGGGTCTCTTCGACAATGACGATCGCTTTTCTATTTTGTTCATTGTAGTAATTCCCAATATTACAGAGGAGGCGTCATAGATACTGATTAGGATCGACATTTGTGTACTAAAAAGAGATGAGCAGCTACACTATGTCCCGCTCCAACTCCACATAACTCCAGTCCTATTTTCTAAAACTCCACATCAATTTCAACTGCAGTGTGTTTCGCTCCAACCCCCATACCACTCTACTCCTTTTTCCTAAGATCCTATTCCAACTCCAATTTAACTTCAATTTCATTAGGATTTTAGAAAATTGGACTTCTGCCAAAACACTCTAAAATATGCATGAGTTTTTGAACATAATTAAATCTATGATTGATATCAATTAGTAGCATATTAATTTACTACTTGATGAACTTTCTCACAACATCCAGAAGTAGGCACCTCCATTCTGCCCCATTCCTACTCCATATGACTCCACTCTCACTCTAATGAGAGAAAGCGTCAACTTCGGAGTTGGAATTATCCATCTATAATGTCAACCATTTCAAAATACTTACTTCTCAGATCCTCGTCAACACATCCATGGCATGCGAGCTTACAGAAGACTTCTCAAAACAAGCACTACATAAGGATTATAACATGATCCTCATAGAAAACATTCATTATTTTTAGATTTTCAGATTTTGATAGAGTATCTTATTTAGTCATCAAGATTCTCTTCGAGGACCCTAATACAATGGTTTGAAGATGGTGCTCATCAAAAGTTAAAAATAGCATTTTAGAACACTTTCTTTTCAAAGCCCATAAAATCCATAGATCCAATGTTTGTCACTAGAGAACTCCGTTCGGATTGACATCCATCTTTTCAGCATTTGCAAAGGAAGAAGTCCCCTCAGATTACATAGATTCGCGTGGAATCCTCTCAACTTTGTTCAATTTCGCCTGTATTCAAGCCTTCTCATGATCTTACTCGGAGTACATCACGATTGTTCTTCAAACAGTATGGCATAACTTATCAAAAGCCTTATAAAATTTCACCGGCATTCTGTATGCAAATACTTAGGAGATTCTTCGGCAGATCTACATTTATCATACAGAAAATCATGTATCCTTAAGGTTTCCTAAAAAACATAGGGATTAGGTTTGATATTTTGTTGTTCAACGATTCGATATTCTTCTCACAAGATACAGATAGAATCTTCTCTGATATTCATATAAATGATTATTCTGCCAAAAAGATTCTGAATTCTTGCAATTCTAAAAAAAATCCTCAGATCCTTATGTTTTTCTGTCAAAAACTTACATGGAATTAGTATTACTCTTTCTTGGAGAACCTCCTTACAACAATCTCCAGGTATTGTCTTTAGGATCAAAAAGATCTTGGCAAGAACTAGAAGTAACACAGATGTAAGAATCGTTACCAAATCATTTTTTTCTCATAAGAAACTAGGAAAAGACTTCTGAATTTTTATGTGTGCAACGAGCATTCTCAAAGATGAATGTCATATTTGTAGCGCTTGCTCCCACGAGAGACGAGATCCCTTCGATAACGACGATTTCTTTTCTTTTTTGTTCATTGTAGTAATTCCTAATATTCCAGCCGATGCCCGATGGGCACAGAATGGAGTGACGGTTGCTGGAGGCCATGGAGCAGGCAGAGCTACCAATCAACTCTCCTGGCCTTTTGGTCTCTTCGTTGATGATGATCAAACGATAGTCATCGCTGACTGGGGCAATGAGCGTATCATTCAATGGAAGATGGATGATACGAATGGACAAGTAGTAGCTGGTGGCAATGGTCAAGGAAACCGATTGGATCAATTGGATCGACCAACTGATGTATTGATCGACAAACAGACAGTTAGTCTCATTATTTGTGATTTGGAGAATCGACAAGTCGTACGATGGTCTCGTCGTAGTGGTACAACTCAAGGAGAAATCCTTATCAACAACATCAAGTGTTCGGGATTGGCCATGGATGATCAGAGATATCTCTACATCTCTGACTACGAAAAACATGAAGTAAGACGATATGAAACAGGAGAAAAGAATGGAACTATTGTGGCTGGTGGCAATGGCGAAGGTGCTGGTCTCAGTCAACTCAACTCTTCGACCTACATCTTAGTCGATCAACAACACACTGCCTACGTGTCAGACAACAACAATCATCGTGTAATGAAATGGAATAAAGGTGCAAAAGAAGGAATTGTCGTCGCTGGAGGTCAAGGCGAAGGGAATGCTCTGACACAATTGCCGTATCCTAATGGACTGTTCGTCGATACATTGGGTACCATCTATGTGGCAGACACGGGGAATAATCGAGTGATGCGTTGGCCTAAAGGAGCGAAACAGGGCACTGTCATTGTGGGAGGAAATGGTTACGGAGAAGAAGCAAATCAGTTCAGCTCTCCCACCGGTTTGTCCTTCGATCGACATGGCAATCTCTATGTCGTCGATTGTTGGAATCACCGTGTTCCACGCTTTTCAATTGAATAGACTGAAAACGATGAATTATTCTTTTTGCGTTCCTTTCGTTTCAAATAAATCACATTGAATTGATGAAATGAATGGCTTATTCTATTCGCGCGCGCGACCAGGAACCACCCTGGTAGAGCCGTGGCGAGCGTAACGCTCATGCACGCACAGGACAGATTCATATCATTCATACCCTCCCCGAGAGAGATACGTCAATGAGTCTGAATAAGCCTGGTCGTATGCCACGGACACCAAGATGATTGCTGGCCGGGTTTTTAGAGCCTACCCGGAAGGCCTGTAACTAACAGGGACCTAACCTCAACGGACATAACTCACCCACTCTCTAGTAACACTCACTTTTCTTAGTCTCACCCTAATCCTCTCAATCTCACTACCTATTCTCATCTCAAAAAAACAAATTACTTACCGTATCTGATGTTGATGACGCGATGATATTGATAGCTGAAAGGAACAGAAAAAAAAGATTTAATTAATGTTATGTAATGAAACAGAATGAGATGACTTACCCTAATGTTATCTTTTTCTTCATTGTTTATTCCCTAAAATAAAAAAAAAACAATAATAAAAAGATCAAAGGAGGCCTTACCCACCATCCTTATAATCGTTAAATAAAATAAAAAATAAAAAAAAAGTAAAACTAATAACTACATTTTATTTTATTGTCTGATTTGCTGCTGAATTGTTTCACATCGTTTGGTTGAAAGCAATCTAAAACAGAAAAGAAAAATTATTATTATTTGATTCAAAAATTTGAATGATTTTACATAGAAAATCATTCGTATATATACCCTCAAAAATCATTTTTTTTTTGTTGTCGAAAAATAATTAGAAATCGATTTCCATTAAGCTTTAATCGGGACACACGTACATTGAGATATATTCAATTACAACTATCTTAATGTATGTGCATGGATAAAGGTTAATTGATATTAGATTAATTATGAAATGTTATCATTGATCATCAATAATAACATGAACAATGACTTATAGGCGAGAGAAGATAAAAAAGAAAATTCCTCTCTTGACCTATTTCTTTTTTCTTTTTCTCTCTCTCACATGTTCCGCTGTCTTAACAGAACACGAGAAAGAACGAACAAAAGAAAAAAAAATACGATTGTGGCTCACATTATCAGTAATGAGCACAGAATAGACGAACACACACAAGTATGTTTTTTTTATTCTTTCACATCAGATTTGTTTATTCGAAGACATACATTTTTATCAAATTATTTATTTTTTTCAGGATCGTCTTGCTAGCTGTACAAAAATTGGCATGAAAGTGTGATCTTTATTCATCTACATAACATGAATTCATCATGTTTATTAAAAAGATTTAAAATTTTTACATTTACATGATGATTATTTATTACATTTACATGATGATTATTTACGGAACAAACTAAAAAAGCAATTTATTTTTGAAAAAAAAACAGAAAAAAGCAAAATTCTTCTTTTAGATTATTATTATCGCTCATTAATAATGTTTCTTCTACACAACGACAACAACAACATTTAATCGTTGTTTTTTGGCCGTCAACAATGCATTGTGAAAAGGCAAGAATCATTTTATTCAACATGTTACAATCTTTTTTTGTTTATTACAGCCATGAGAAATTTATTATTTTAGTACAAAACAAAATTTTATAATCTATCAAAACTATTGTAAGTTGAAATAGTCAGTTAATCTGACTATTATGATCCGATTGAAATGAGGACGGAGTTATTGCTAAACAAAAAGGCAACTCGTAGCAGAGAGGGAAAAGAAAAAAAATTTACGAAAACGAACATTAAGTATATGTGAAGACGTTATTCTTTCCATCAATCATTCTCCGGTAATTCATCTAAATACTAGTAGTAAAAGATTCTAATTAAAGGCTTAATAGAAAGTAAAAACAAACAAACAAGATGAATAATTCAGTTTCCAATAATAATTTGATGAAGCGCGTATATTTTCGAAGAAAATATAACTCAACATGTATCGTATATATTGGTATTAAGAGAAAAAAAATTATGCGTTGAAGATATATCTAACAAAAGAAATAAGTTTTTTCTAAGTATGATGATGTTCAATGAATCAAGTGAATTGACATAATAGCCATTCTAAATGTAAGCATTTTCGTATTGATAACATTGACGAGCACGTCTATCAACTATAAAAATTGTTGTCATTTTCATTTATTCATTTATTATAGTTTCTGTTTAAAAATAGATTATTTTAAAACCTCTGACAATATATCATTCGTCTATATAATAGTCAGAGTTTCTAATTGAATATATATTCATAATTCATAATTAATGGATCTGCAATGAATTCAATTAAATAAACTTAGTTAAATATTATAATTCAGATTTTATTCAATTTCTTGTATAAAACGTACCATACAGATATAACATACGTACGTCATCATTTGTTATTATTCTTTTTTTTTCCTAGTCATACAATCAATAATAATGATGAAGAAGATTTGTTTCATTTGTTTATGATGAAAAAAATTACAACTATGAAATTAGGTGAACAAAGTATTCTCAATCGATTTCTAGCTATAAAAACGACTATAGCTGGACAATCGGTAGTTACAGTTGTACTTAAACGAAAACATCTCGATGCTCAGTTGAATAAACATATAAATCTGTTCAAGCAAAAACAATTATCTTATTTTATTTTAAAGTTCTTCTACAAGCAACACATGAAATGAATGTTTCAATTCCTTAAATTGCTGATCTTTTAATTGAGCACTCACAAAATTCTTCATGCATCGTTTCATTTAAATCATTAATTACAATTCATCATTGAATGTCATATAGGAATGAAGTAAAAATTGTTTTTTTTTCTAAAATATTAATTTACTTTAAAATTTTCTTACCATTTAGAGAAATTTATATGGGATCACAGAATCATCATTTACAACCAGTTGTTATTATCGATTGTTTAGGAATGCTTGCTAGTGATATGTTAATATAAATTAATGGATTATGATTTTTTGCAACATAAAATGATGATTTGTAGATTTTATCTTAAAAATAAAAATGAGATTAAACATAGTTATTATTATTTTAAAAAACGATGATGGACTTCTTCGATCAACGCCTATTGACAAAATATGAAGTAATGATTATATTAGAAAAAAAAAGAATTGTGTTTGCATTAATTTAATTATTTAAAGCTTAACCTATACTTCTAAAACACATTGACGCTATACTTAATTTTGATGTTAGTTAGACAGAAGTTAATATAAGGAGGCAATGCTTTTCTAATAATATCAATGGCTGCCAATTCTATATAACAAAGTTTACGTCTATTTCGAGTCAAATAAACCCGAGCTGAACTACTGTCTATCCCCACACAAATGCGTATGGGTAGTGAACGAAATGTAGAATAAGTCTATTAAAATGAGTAAACATTGACAAGATATTTAAGATACTTCTAGAACAAAAAAATAGAGAATAATTTCCATTAAAATTCTTCCACAGTAGCTTATTTGTGACTATTCTTGCGTACGATTAAATATACTAAATATTTAGAATAAACACTCATTCTTGCATTATCTCGTATAATTCTTAGGTGTGGGTATTGGTGAACTGAAGACTCATACCCTTAATTAAGCAAACTTTCATTTGTCTTGAATAATTTTTTTTTTCTTGTATAGATAGAGGATGTGATTTTATTCATTATCTTGATGGACTTGTTGACAAAAAATTAACGTGATCCAGTAACACATGTTATTTCACATGCAAATATCAATGAAAAACATCTTGTAACGAATTTTCTATTTTCTTATTAGCATAAACATATTTAACAATTTGTTTATAAATTCTTAAGACAGCATTTAATATGGAAAGAAATGAAATTCTAATGGAAGGATGGCTTTTATGTTGTTGGCATTAGCGAAATAATTATCAATTTAATCCTTTTTGATTCTGAACTTATTTAAATGTATGGTACAAAACCATTACCTAATCTTATTTTGTATTATGCTTTTGCTGTTATTAATAATAATTATTATGGCAAAAATTACATTTGCAAAAAACATAAAATGATCAAGTCTCAACCGGGTCGATATTTTTCTAAGGTTTTATTCGTCATATACTTAGGAAAAAAATCTATGTATACTTTTTGAAAAATATTCTTTGATATGATAGTAGAATCTGAATATGAACTTGCACTCATACTTTGTCATCGGATCGAAAAAATCGATTTTCTCGACAATCAAATAATAGTTTTTAAAAAGAATACAATTTTTTTTGTCTATCAGTCGAATAAAACCATAGAAAAAAAATATCGAGCTTAACAAGATTTGATGCCTTTGGCGGTTTCAGTTTTCATAGACAATTATGGAATTCTTTTCACACTAAACTGTTGGACACTGTTGTTGAATTTTGATTGCAACAGTGATGAACTAGTTTTATTTCCTTGTATTACATTAACTCATCTATACACAGCGTTACTTTCATTTTTGAATGAACCATTTTTTCAATCAATTCCAATATTATTTTTCATATAACTTTTTTTTTTTTTTTCTAATAGATTTTAGAAAATTTTATGCTAAAGCAATGGAAGCAATTCATACATTAGATAAAAAAAATGAATGGTCGTTTTTATGTTTATCTTAAGGTAATTTTATTTCATTGAATAGATAATGTAAAAACTAAAATTATTTCGAATAGATTTGTGAACATAAAATTGAATTAGGTAAACAACATTTAGCTGAATTTAATGATACGACCTATTCAACGTTTATTTAAATGTACATCAATAGCATATATTGATTAGCAATTATTAATTGATTCATTGGATTAATACTATTGATAATTGTCGAGTAAGAAAACCATTTCGACAGTATTAAACACGTTTTGTTGTTGTCGTTAAATTTTAGTCAGAGTTGCTTGCTCCGCACCATGATTGTATAGAAAAATTTCAAGCTATTGAACTTTCACAAGAATTAACAACAACCCGAAGAGATTTAGCTGTTTTTCTTTTCTTCGATTGTCTTGAATATATGTGAAAAACATCCGGTATGAAAACATATTGCACTTATTCAATTAAGTGATATTCAAAAGTTTGTTTGATATTAATTCATTATCATTAACAATTAATGGAAAAATTATTGACTGTTTTTGTTTTTTGTAAAACTCACGTTATGTTTTTCTTTTCGAAGAAAAATAGAATGAGTGTAAGTTTTAGAGATATGCTAGACGAAAATTTGGAAGTTTGTCGGATTTGTACTCATTGTATTTTCATTAGAATTTATTCCACATTTCTCATGGCATGTTGATATCGATCATTTAGGAATATGGTCATTATAAACTTTTACCTTAAGAGTAGCAACTGGGTGTGGCCAAGCGTTACGAAATTCCACTTTTTTTTTTACTTTGTTCAACCTATATCTCCATATCGACGGGAGCAAACGCGACGAAATTTTTATCGTGAATAGAGGTCACCGAGATCTTACACAACTTAAAAGTTTATTGATTTCTGTTGAGCCAGAGATCAATTATTCACACAATACCGACCGTTACGGAATTTCCAAAAATGGACGCTTTTTTTAGAGGAAATAGAAGTTTTCCACTTCACTGCGAAATGAAATGATATACAAATAAATACTCTTTACAAAAGTTGTACGGTTGTTAATGAGCTTCCAGAATATCAAGTCATTTTTTAATAGAAATGTCTGTGTCAAATAGAAGTTTAAAAACATCATCCGTTACAGAATTTCGTCTTTTTTCAAAAACTTGCAGTTTCCTTAAGAGTAAAAACAATTAGATATTCGTCTTCAACATGAAATTCTGCATCAAATGAACTAAATTTGCCTAAATTCTGAGGAAAAAAATTTTCAACTTTTTTCGACATGAGAAATTTTTGAGAAAAATTAAAGTTTAAATTTTGGAAAACTAAATAGACCATTTTGTTCGAAATTCAATGCTGATTCCAAATATATGCAAATATATTTATGTTTGTGAAGACGAAAAGCACTAAACATTGAATAGTGTAGAAATACCTCAATTTTCTTAGTGCATTCGATAGAGCCCGTTGAGTTCTACCTGGCTCTATTGTTTTTGTTTCGAAAGCTGTCAATATATATGCGAGAAAAATAACTTATGAGCCACTTTTGTTGCGAAATTTCATTAAAAATGTAGATAGTTTGTGAGTGCATTATCTTACTTCAGACACTATCCGAACGTTGTGTAAAGAGAATATCCGGAAAGAGCAAAGTTCTTTCTGCTGATCAATATAAAATTTGTTCTTATTCGACACATTCGTTGATACTTTTGATAGCATATTATATACCATGGGTTGATCAATTGTTTAGACAGAGAATCATTCAAAACACAAACGACGACGGTATTGAGCAACAAGCAGATGCTCAAGAGCTAGTAACATCTGTTTTAAAGACTATCAATAATGACCTTTCAACATGCATATCGGGTTTCTTTTACGTTTCATTTTGAACCCTCTACATCAGAGAGTGACCGTTAGCTGGTCATCGCCAACTATGAAACCAGATCTGTACTCAACGAGCTGTACCGAGAACTATGAGAAAAGCAGTTATCTCAACTGTCACTAAAGTTTATATAGTTAAATATTCGATGACTTTAAGTGTATAAGTAACAAGAAAGCAAATATTGAAGAAGTTCTTAGATGTGGTAAGGATGAAAAAATATGAAAATCATAATAACTTTAAAAGTAAAAAACGGGTAAAATTTGATTTCTCATGTATTCCTTTATAGTGTGGTAGAAATTTTTCACTTCAAGTATTATGGAGGAGTATAATGAGACTAAACAACACATATGAGTTCTACATTTTAGTTCTTAACGAGCTGCATTGACACAATCTCTGTTTTCATTTAAATAAAATTTTTTCTATTAAAGAAACTGAATAATTCAGAATACTTTGTTCAATTGATGTTCACACACATATCTTCATCATTATCATCGATTTCAACATTATCAAACAGTACTCATCATCATGGAAATAATAAAACCGATGAACTTTACCAGTTAGCTAAAGCGATTTTCGGTTAATCAATATTTACTTGATAAAGTAAATTAGAAAAAAAACAAAAAACTGTAATGTTCAGTTTTTATTTTAGTCTTCACTTATTCAAACATCACTTGAAAATTCAGACATTGTTTCAGATTGACGTTCAACTAGGCATCTAAATTTATTAGATTTAGCACTTAAACGGTTTGAAAGTTTTCTTTTTTTTTGTTCAATTAATTAATGCTGAATATACATATGTTGAGATTGTAGTGATCTCTATAAAGTAAAGAAAAGATTAAGTTGCGCTATTTCATTAGGTCCAGAACCTAATAGACATTTAACAAAAAAAGCTTGTTAGCGCAGCCCCTTTGGGGCTAAAATGTGGAACTCACATATTCCCTACGATTTAAGTAGTTATTCGATAGAGGGCCTTTAATTTTTTTATATATTAAATGTGAAAATATGGAAATAGTAAGCGTAAATTAAAACAAATGAGGATTTATTCAGTACAAGTTTGTTTCGTTATTAATGGTTACTAGTATTATAGTGAAAATATTAGGAATTTCAGATCAATGCTTTTCAATATATTCAGGTTGTTGTTTGTTTAAATATAATATTCTAAAAAAATGTCATGAAATATTTATATGATATGTCGGTTTATACTGTTAATGTTGTAAATGATGCATAGAGTGAGAAAGTGTT